CACACACACACACACACACACACACACACACACACACACACACACACACACACACACACACACACACACACACACACGTTTGTCAAAAGTACTATATAAAACCAGTCTACGAAGTTTGGGACCTTCTAATATTTCTACTGTATTCTAGTAAACTAATGGGAAACAAACAAATCTGTTCAATAATACATTAAAGAAGCTACAGCTGCAGATTTGAACTCACATAGCAGATAGCTGCTAGCTCTTGACGCAGATTGCTAGCTTCTAGGCTTGAGGTGCTCTTCATGGGATTCAGACCGTTGTCATAAACAGTAAACTTGGTTCCCATGAGATTTGACCTGAAAACACACACACACACACACASASACACACAKAAAAAAATATTGTTACRATGGATTAATTAAAAAGCACTGTAACAATACAGGTAAAATTATCAGCTACACTGATGTGCACATAAAAAAATGAAATAGAAAACAGTATTTATATATTTTTTAATTAATGAGTTAGAATAAATTATAGATCTCAGACAAAACTAGCCGAAGGCCAAGATGGTGCAATCATAAGATTTGGGTCTGAGTTACTGATGTCTTGAATAAAATTTTGGATTTGACTGAAGTCCCTGTGAGGTTTAATCCTCTACTGCAATGATTCCCAACCAGGGATACGTGTACCTCTCGGGGTACGCAAGCATATTACGAGGGTATGTGAAAAAAATTTCCGAGGTGTGTAAAAAAATAAATAAAAATAGGACTGAGATATGTAGGGCCCTATGATTTCTGCAATGCYGAAATTGCAGTCAGAATCACAAAATTAACACAAAATGGAATCCAGTAWAAAACATGGAATCTCACAGAATTTGCTCATTTGGGTGAGTTTCTGACGTACTTTGGACAATACAATGTATTTTGGAAGCTGCTGTTTTCTGCACCTGCCATCACCTGGTTTATATATTTAAAGGGGCAATACCATGTGTTTCTCAGGCATTTATTTAAATTCTATACCATAATAAAGTAACTATGTCACTTTCAGTTGTTATTAAAATGCTGTTTTTAATGTTTAAATCGAAAATAAACTTGACTTCTCATCATATCTGTGTCTAAATGCAAATTGTTGAATTGAATAGTTTTGGAGAATCATCATTACGTTTGACTGAAGGGGTACTAGTGGTATGACAAAATGGCTCAGGGGGTAGACAAGTCTAAATTGGTTGGGATCCACTGGTCTAAAGTCCTGAAACATTCCAGCACTTTCAGAACCTTGGACAGTTCATTCAGTCCTTCARACTGTCTAAAGTCCTGAAACATTCCAGCACTTTCAGGACCGTGGACAGTTCCTTCAACCCTTCACACTGTCCAAGGTCCTAAAACTTTTCAGCACTTTCAGGAKCTTGGACAGTTCCTCCAGACCTTCACACTGTCTAAAGCAGTGATTCCCAACCAGCGGTACACGAGCATATTACAGGGGGGTATGTGGAAACATTTCCAGGATGTGTAAAAAATTAAATAAAATAGGACTGAGATATGTAGGGCCCTATAATTTCTGCAATGCAGAAATTGCAGTTGGAATCACGGAATTAACACAAAATGGAATCCAGTACAAATGTGGAATCTCACAGAATTTGCTCATTTGGGAGAGTTTCTGATGTATTGTGGACAATACAATGTATTTTGGATGCTGCTGTTTTCTGCAAATGCCATTACCTGGTTCATTTATATAATTACTTATTCACTTTCAAGGCAACATTTTTTTTTATCTTTGTTTAATTTGAGTTAAAAAATAAAATGCCTGAGAAATAAATGTTCTAGGGGGTTAAATAAATAATTTTCATTTAATAATCAGTTGTAGTACATTGTAGTTTTGGAGAATCATCATTACGTTTGACTGAAGGGGAACTAATGTGACAAAATGGCTCAGTGGGTATACAAGTCTAAAACAGTTGGGAACCATTGCCCTACAGATGCAGGCAGAAGGTCAGAAATCTTATTAATTTTATATAAAACATTAAATATTTGGGAAATGTGAAATGCCTTAAAATAACCATGTAAACTGTGTATACAGTGCATTTATATATAACATTTGATATGTCAAGTCTTGGTAAATGTGTTTTTACATGAAAAGAACAAGGATCTTGAGAACATACATATTTTTTAAATTAATTACAAATATTTATCAACAGTAAAAGTAAATCCTATTGGTCTTTTCTGACATTTCTTTTTTTTTCCCACAAATCATTTAATCAGTGCAGCTTGCTGAACAGCCCAAACATTGATCTAAACATGGTGATTTTCACAAAACCCTGTTTAAAAAGAATGTGCTATTTTTTTAAAAAAAAAAAAGTGTTTCGCATTCACATCTTTAAAAAGCTGGATGATTCCTTCAGAAGCCAAACCTCATTTAGGCCAATCTCCTCAAGGACTCTCGAAAAGCACAAGCTGAAAGGTAAGTGTTCATTCATATTTAGATCTCCATCATTCAAGCAGAGCTGTAGCTGCAGAGTTTTTGAGCAGCACGTTGACGGGCGGTCAGTCTCTGAAGATTAAAAAGGCTCCATGGAGCCACGTTTGATTGCACTGCAGAGGAGTTTTCATGGAGCCGCCGGTGCTGCTTTCAGGTTCTCTCAATGGATTTTGTTGTTTTACACTCGTCATATTTAAAATTGTAAATATTTTAAATGAACTGAAAGGGTAGTTTTTAAACTTTAAGTGATGACTTGTTCACATAAGGAAGTTAAGACATGTMTTTTTAATTACACTATTTATTTCGAGAAGGTAAACTTAAACAGAACAAGAAGGGATGGTTCAGATATTTTGAAGTGAAGTTTTGTGGTAAAATTATTAACAGGTAGGGATAGCTCTTTGAACAACCTCAGATTGAAAAAAAAACAAGGGTTAAGTCTGACCGGACTGACAAGCAGCCATTGGCTCATTAATCTGGTTTAAGCTAATCCATTATTCTTCAGACTGCGARAGGTCAAAGATCTAGCTACAACAGGTAGTAATTGTTCATAAAATTCCTACAGAACTCTACTTTCAAAATCTGAACTCGATTAAAAGGGATGTAATGAGGAAACTGATTCGTTTTTTCTCACAGGTTTAAGAAAARTGACAGAATTCAGCAAGAAATATCCTTTAAACAACTAAAGACAAGATTATATAAGCAGCAAAATAAACACAAGCAGTGGTTTATTAACATAAAATCATTTCTCTCCATAAATTTCCCAGTGTAAATCATTTTCACTGCAAATGATCTCATGAAGCGAGCCGCGGTGTTCAGGGATTTACCTCAGTTTACCGATGAAACTCTCTCCACCGCGAGACAGATCAGTGGGATCGATGGAGATGAGGTAATTGGAAGTTTTACTCTTTTTCCTCTTCCTGCCAGCTAACAGGAACACCTGAGTCAAACCAAGCCAATAAAATGCAATTTCATTAAAAAAAAATCACACTTCAACACAAGTCACACTGACAAATCCACTGCAGGTTTTAAATTCTTCACAAACCAAGCCCTCTTACCTTCTTGCCGTCCTCCCTCTCCAGGTGAAGGTAGTAGGTGGGATACATTCCTCTGTCCATGCCCTTTTTGTCTCTGGTGATCCGGCATTTCACTCGGACCCCCTGTGGCGCGGGTCGCAGCGAAAACTCCTCTAAATCCTCCACATCGATGGCAGGTTCGCAAGCAGGCGGAGTGGGTGCTGACGCCACGTCCTGCAGGAGAGAGCAGGATGAAATGGTTAACTGACGAGTAATGCTGTAAAGCAAACTTTCATTAAAACAGAGTGAAGCAGCGTAATGAAGCTCAACTAAACTGACCCCTGAGACTGGTAATGAGCACACAGTGTCTAAAATAAGGACTGAGTGAAGGAAAAGAAGATTGAACCGACTGATGGAGAGATGCAAAAAAGTTCATAACAAAGCAAAGGCTGTTTTTATCTGAAACCTTGATTCTTGCTTAGTTTTCATCTATAGTAAATCCTCCCATTGTAGTGTGTTAACAAAAGAAGATAAGATTAGTGAGACAACGAAGAGTAAGCTCAGGCTGCGTCGATTAGTCATTCTCACTCAGGCATTTTGAGTTTGGTAGTCAGAAGAAGCCTCAGTAAATCTGAAATGTGTTTTCTCAATAAAGACATCTCAGGAGACACTGTCGAAAAAAGCTGTGCGGTGAAGTAATCTCTCAGAGCTCAAATATCGATCAGTCCATGTTTATAGATATGAAAGAGCAGGCAATTTAGCTCAGTGTTTTTTATTTCACTCTTCAGTAGGACACCTGGATAAAACAGCTCCATAAATGGTGTAAAGAGGTAAGTTATACAGTTTTAAAGAATCAGATTTCTGTTTGCGGATCTCGAAATAGATGTTTGTTTAAAACACTCAGTAAACCATTGAAAAGCATTTTTGTGTTCAAGCTCTCTGAGCAGTCACACTGTTTTTTTTTTCAAACAACATACTTCTATGAAAATATAATAATTATAGACATTTATATTTTAAAATATTCTGCTCATTGAGGAGCTGGGTGCTATGATTTTTGTTTGATGTAGCTTTTGTACTTAATTTATGTATATGTTCCCCACACGGAAAGACATTTTCTTCCACTTCCATCAAAAAATAGTATTTTATTTTTTATCTACTTTGAAAAACTTGTTTGTTTGTTTTTGTCTCCCAGCTTTTATGACCGTTCTATTTCTTCAAGCATTTTTCTCTTTGCAGCTTTTAGCTAGCCTTTTGCAGCATTTACAGTACATAGTCACTTGTTTGCAACTTTTGGCATTTAGATATTATTTTGGTGCTTTGAGCTAGCCTTTTGCTATTTAAGATTTTAGCAGGGATTTCGTTATTTCTCGTGAGCATTTAACTTTTTTAACCAACCTTTTGCTACATTCAGTTTTTGGCTAGCAGTCTCAGATGGACCATTTTACAGGGTTCTACAAGTTTGTGTCCTACATCTATTGCGGTAAAACTTCCTGGAGTTATGAAGCATGAAATTCTTGTTTTCCAAACTTTGCATGTATACCAGCTTATTAAAAAAATACATAATAGTAAATAAATAAATTAATTAATTAATTAAATTTTTATTTTGCAGAAAAGAGCAATAAGAGTTATTACTAGAAAACAATACAGTCACCCATCATATATATTGTTTTGTCAATTGGAATTATTAAAACTTCATGAGTTGGTTGATTACAGTATTCTACAGCTTATGTTTAAGGCTCATAAAACATGCTACCTTTGAATATACAGTTAAATTTTGTTAAAAGAGACAGCTCTTATAATTTAAAGTGAAATGAAATATTTGTGAAGCACAGATTTCGAACAAGTTTGAGGGAACGGTGTTCGTCAATACAGGGAGTGAAATTGTGGAATGCTCTGGAGAGTGATGTTAGAAATGCTGGA